ACTGTTTACCTTTTAATAGTAATCAGTGGTTTGATGAAGACAGAGCAGTGCTACTTAATTGTTTTTTTTTCAGGTGTGCACAACTGCTTTATAAACTAATTCTAACAAAACAACAAAATTGATCGCCTGACCTAAAACAGTTTTAAAAGTATATCAAACAATATTTTAACATGAACTCTGAAGGTAGGACTTATTTTAATAGAGAGAAGAAGACATGTAATATTCACTTAGCCAATATGTTGTGTACAATCACACAGGTATGACAGACATTTTACATATCATTAGTGATGTATAGCTCGGAGGTAAGTTTGTCAGCTGATCTTCAGCGCAGATATTGCCTGTAAGTCTTACCTTTCTAAGGTGGTGTTCAACAGGGACTGTTATAGGAACCTGTACTCCCAGTCTAAGCTAATATTTTGATTCTGGATCACAATTTAACAACTCTTTTAAACACACAAAAGTAATGTGCCAGTTCACCTGGGCAGGTGATCAACTGGTACACAATCAGATAACTTAGTATCAATGGAACTTGACTGAAATTTCTACAGGGTGAAGTAAACCTGTCTCTGAAATGTAAAACCTCTGTCCTTAGAATGTCTCCGTCTCCCAAGGTGATGAGTAGTGTCCTACTAATGCACCTTCACTTTACTGAGGAAATACACAGTGTCACAAAACTCCATCTATGTATCAATAGTATTGTCCCACATTCCCTTACATACAAACTTCACTTAAAAAGTTGTTGTCAACAATCTGTTATCAAATAATAAATCTAAACCAAACATATCAATATGTGACAGCAAACTTGTGGTGAAAATCATCTTTATAGCAGTCTACAAACTGTATGCACAAAGACATAGGTACACAGTCATCAAAGCTCGGTCAACTTTAACAGCTGTTGTGATCGAAGGTGTAAACGTAATCACAGGTGTTGTGTCTACATGGATATCTGTGTGGAGTAAATAGTCTTTCTGTTCATATTTACCTGTCAACTGGTCAGCGGTCTGGACCGTCCTAATCCAAGGTCTGTAACATCCACGACATACAATACAGGGACGGACAATTTAGGACATGTGTCTACCTGACGAACGTAGGACTGGGGAATTTTCCACAACAATTACACCAGGTAGATAATATATGGCCCACGACAGACTTAGTCATGCTCACATAGTCACATGTAAACACAGAGTTAGCAATCTACCCATGATTTTGGGCATTTCCGTTCTGTGTATAAATAGCTGGAGTATCTACCTGTGATCTGATTAACATGTAAATAACAACAGGTAATCAATACTCAAATGATCTAATAATAGGTAAAATTAGTCATATCTGTCTACATTCCAATCCAGTGTTTTGAGACAGAACATGAATAAATCATCCCATTCAAAGAAATAAAGTTCTGAAAATAAATGACAAGAAAACCTTACACTAATTAATTGAAGTGATAAGAAAGTTTAATTAAAAACATCTGACATATCTAATGTACATGGAAAATGTATCTAATTTGTTAATTGTGATTGTATGTAATATTGTTGATCACTGATAGTTTTTGTAATATAAAATCAGTTTGTTTACTAAACATATAGTAAACAAACTATCTTTTATTACTTTATCCTTGTGACTAGAAACGAGTGCCTGTGCTTTTGGACATCTGATCCGTATTCCATCTAAATAATGACTTTAACTATAAGACATCTTACTGCAACAAAATCAAGTTACAATATATGAATAATTATGACCAATTCATTACTTGGTTTCTTAATCATATGCATTGCTTTGAAAATGATATGCATACTATAGAAAAATGAGTTATGTAAACTATGAAATTGTTTAAACTTAACAGATATTATAGGAAATGAGGATCCTTTTGTCATCTCCTCTTTGTAGATCTAGAACATTAACTTAAGATATAAAAAAACACACCAACATTGTAGTGAACAAGGAAAAATTGACATACCTGTGAAAAATGAAGAGCTTATGCAGATCCTATAAAAATGGATGAGGCACAACGAGCCTTTATTGCTAAATCCCGGTAATAAGCCCATCTGCGTGTTGCATCCCCTTCCCCTCCTTCCCCCTCCAGATATTCACTGTAGGATAATTATGGTTTTCAGATTTGAAAATTTTAATCATTATAGACTTTGGTTAATGGTGTCTACCAATTTCCATGCATACTATCAACCAAATATCAAGATTTTGCAGGGGCCTCTTGGTCTTTTAGAAGAACGTTGTGTTTTAAGATTTTTGCTCATTTAATTAGACACTTTTGACCTTCACAAGGGCCAAAGTACTTCATTTGAAAAAATTGGTAGCTTGTTATCCTAATGACCATTTAAATGACCTTATATTGAATATTGTTCGGTTATATATATAGGGAAAACATGATGCTTATTAAATAATGGACACAAAGAAAGATAAAGCATGGGCGTGGGCAGAAGCTTACTTGCCTTTCTGGTATATGTAGGTGATAACCTATAAAACAATAGAAGGAATCCACAGGTATCAGGGCTACAGTTACATTTCCTCAGTTATATATCGGTTGATAATCTAAGATGAAGTTTTCAGTATCTATCAATACATATGATAACGCATAAAACACAAGTGAAGGTCCTCCAGGCAATAAGCCAAGTTATAACTACAGGGCACCTTGTCATTATGTTATCTCATCAAACCACTACTCAATTAACAATACCAAGCTCCATAACCATCTACATAGCAATTACATGACTAGCAATCGCACAAATTTCTCACCAAAGTCATATTTTATTAATGTAATTTAAAAGTCATCTAAGTCACTAATAAACATTTCACATCTTATCAATTTGTGAAAATGTGCATAACTTTTGATTATGTTTCATAGCATATGTTCAACAAAAATTAGCAAGAGGCATAGCAGCCTTGATGGAATATTGATTATAAAGGTTAAAGGGTAAGTAGCATTCAAGTGCCATGAAAAAGGAATAAAGACATTGATGATAGTAAGCCAGTGTCAATACATGCATACCATCAACACTGTCATCCTATACTAATAAATCTTAGTTATTTCCAGTGGGAAATAAACAATGTTATGCTCAAATATGTCATTTTTCTATAAAAATTACAGTAAATCCCAGAAAGAATGTGAGGCCCATTTTGGTAATCAAAGCACCTTAAGATGCTTCCATCAATGAAACCATTTGATTCTAACATACCTGGGTGTCGAGAAGAAGTTTTTCAAAATCTGAATCAATTTGACCATTCTTGTCTCCACCCCTCAGGCCTCTGTGGGTTGGGGGACCATTTAATTCACTAATTTGGTTAATTTTAGGCCAGGTAAGGTTTCTGCAAAATTTCATTGAAATCAGTTCAGGGGTTTTTGAGAAGAAGTCAAAAATGTTAAATTGTTTACGGACCCACAGCGCCAGAGGTGATTGCGACAGGTCACCATGAAACTTTGGTCTCAGGTGACCAAAAACCCAGAGAAAACAAAAACAATTTCTGTTTAAAATTTGACCTTATCACCCTCATCAAATGAGTTCACCAGGTGCACTAGAAACACATTTTTGTGATAACAAACTAGAGTGGCAGTTAAAGTTTAATTAACAAATTCTATGTTTAAAATTTGCATTACAATCACTGCTGTACTAATCAATAAAAAATCTCAGCAATGATTTCTGTAGCGTATATCACTTAAGTGCATGAATCCATGAAAGCACGTCACATGACAATCAGTATTTAGCTCAGTCAGTATCCAATGCACGCTGTTAACCTGTAGTTGTTTAGTTTCAAGTGTCTTATCAGACCAATCCTCAAATATTGTGGTGTTGTTTTCTGTACTGGATTTAGATAGCAATAGAGGCTTTAGAATGTTAAAAAACACAGAGGAATGAATTTATACCTTATTCTTCAAATAAACCCACAGGTCAAACACATTACTATATGATTTTAGTCAGGCGGTGAGCTAATTACAAATCAATGAAAGAGTATCTTACAGTAGTTGTTACTGTAAGAATCCAGTTATCATATCTGTGAACTCATCATTTTGTGGAAGATGGGAGTCTCAAGCAGGACGACAATATTTTTTTTCTGTTAACTAAATATATCCATCTATCATTGAGAAAGTTTGTCTGGTTCTAACACTAAGATTGTGTGTCTGATACTGAAATATGTAAATGATCCATCCTAGAGATCAGTAACAGTTACGATATATATATATAAACCCAGTAAATTTCAAAACATGAAAGTTGATAATCAGTATCTAGGTATCACGCCCAAGTCCTGTTTATGATAATACAACCTTGATGTCAACCTACCATTCTATCATCCTATCATGCCATCCATCCCTCTACTCCCCTTCACTTAACATCTTACTTTCTTACTCGCTTTACGAAAGCCAGAGAAACTAGAATGTTTGTCTTCATTTGTGAATTTATGTGAAGAGTATCACTGCATAATTTATAAAGGCACAGATGAGTTTTACAATAATTTTTTATTGTTTTTTTCTATTTTTTTTAACTTGCATAAATTACTTCCCTTGGCAAAGTCATCAGTTTTACCTCTTTGACAGCAATATTGATCGAGCTAAATCACAGTAGCCACAGATTGTGAATAAAAGCTTAGACTTTTAAAGAACTTAAGCACTGTTCAGTCAACAAAATGCACAGTAAGATTCTGTTTTCCAAACTACAATACAACTACAGTAACATAGTTTTTATTTGCACCTAACTATTTCATTCCAAGTTGTTATTACATGTCCAAGAATTAGTGTTGCTCAATCCAACTTCCAGATATTTTCATTACCACCTGTGGGACATAACAAATTGTTATAGACAACTTACAAAGAAACTGTTTAAACCAAAATAAACATCAAATAAAAAATCGCAAACATGATACTTATTTGATTCAAAATGGAAGTGACAAAAAGTAGCAACCACCTGCTTAAGAGATGTCTGGCACAGAAATCCTCCCTTTGTGTAAACATTATAACTAGTGGCAGTAAGGATGTGAGTGTGGAATATACAGACCTTTCGACTCTCTTCAATATGTATTTTCTCTCACTTCCATTGTGATGCTGTGATCCCTGTAAGTGAAAACAGTGATTTAACAGCAGAGTGACCATCAGTTATGTACGAACATCTAACATTCTAACTACATGCCACTTAACAAAAAACATCTGCAGACATTCTATTCCTACAATTTCAGTACTTTAACGCTATGGAAAATCTAGAACAAAATCTGCAAAAAAATGGAGAATGTTGCACATGTGTTCTTGTTTACACTAAATGTGTGCTATGCATGATGTAACAGTGTAGAAGGAAAAGCTCCCCTTCCCATCTTCCACCAATCAATCTACCATTATACATACATTCTCCTTCAAACTTAATGTACATAGGCCCGTTATATAACTAATTAAATCTCTTTTTATTATGTTCATCATGGATGACGTGAATACAAACCAATTTCATTTTCTGCAGAATAATTAAAGAGTTTTTGGCAGTCGGCTGTAACATACAGGAGTATCATATATCTCCCGAGTTTGTGAGAGTTAATACCGAGACGAAGTTAGGTTGATGTTTATTTAGGTACAACTTTTAGAAGCTACATCCCAAGTATGGGCTTGATGGAGCTTCCTAAGTACACCCACGTTCTACTGAAAAATCTTCAATGTTTTCTTCATACACACTTTTCAGTATTACAGCTGCCTTTTATTGACAGCATTATAGGATAAACCATGTAATGTGTAACATTTTACATATCAACATCAAAATCAATCTTTATTTATATTTTACAAACAAGATATTTCTGTAAACAAGAAAATTTCTGTGATACAAATGCCTTCATTCTCATTCATTATTCATAACTATCAACATTTTCTAATTTTATAAAAGTTGTCAATTTGACTTTTGACTTTTTAAACTTTGACTGAATACCAACTTAGGACAGTTAAGAGTAGAACTTAATGTTCTGATACTATGGGGATGAACCATGTACAGATTCTCAAGAAATGACAAGTTCAAACCGCATACAGGACACAGTTTAAGGATGTAAAGTGACAGGACACAAAGGGATAAATGGACAGTTATATCCCATCCAATAAACCACAAGCTTACACTTTGTTATGGAAACAAAATTATGGCCAATACAAAAATGGAACCAAATGCAGTGTTTTTGTTATATAATGTACAATTGCCAATTGACATAATGGACTCTACCTATGCCCGTGACACCATTGATGATTGGTCAGTTATTAGAGAATTCAATACTGCAATTAGTCTGAATTTATGTCATTGCTGTGAAGAAGAGAACTCAATTTCCAGGCAAGAAGGATTGAATATCTCTTGCAGTTGTTTTAAACAGGTTTGAACTGTAGTGAGCAAGCAATTGCATATACGACTGTAAACAGATTTCTCCTATTTCATTAAATTGGTAACCTCTGACTTTATATCTGGCTGCATTACTCCATAGATTGTATTGATGTTTTATTTTAGTGGTAGTATAGCCTATGGGTTGAAATCCAATTTATTTTGTTTGTTGCCCCTTGAAGATTTAACTGGTAAATCAATTTGATCTGTGGCTCTATATGCCCCGGCAAATAGGTTTCAGTCTAGTTCAGTTTATGACACCTTTTAGATTCGATCCAATTCATTTTTTTCATCACATCTAAATATAAGTTTCAACACAAAATCATTTTGTGTTCCCAGCTGAAAACTGACTCTTTTTTTTTGAAGAACCTCTGTTTCAAACTTAATGATTGGCAAAAAATAAATCCAATCTTTGACTGAATTTACATGAAATGTGCATTACTAGCTGTGCTTAAAACCCATCTCTTTCCTAGCTTTACCGATTGTTCCTGAAATTATTGTATGGTTTATTATGAGATTTGTCCTTTGTAGAATAATACATGATATAACTCTACTATTTCTGAAGGACCTGTGCCATGACATTGGCCTTGATACTGTACAAGGAGTAGTTCCATCGTTAAGTGTCTTTGTGATGCAGATGATGATGTTTTACTTGAGACTTGAAGTATTATGGAATATTTGGTGGTGTCACTGGAGCAGTTCCACTAAAAAAACACATCACAACCCAAAAACGTGGTGAAAGGTATTCTTATCACAAAACTGGAATAGAAAATTAAAAAAAAATATTGCAAGGATCAAAATTATGACCAGTACACAGTTTCTAGGTGATGGCAACATATATCATGTTCCCTCAAGATATTCAGTAATGACCCAACAAGACATCCCAGGGGCCAACACATAGTGATTCTGAGTCTGGATAAGGGCTTACTTACAGATAGTGAAATATCAATAACTCTTCATTCTTTTGAACAGCAAATTATATGGGTTGGCTTATTACCAGGCTAGGGCTTGCTTATCAAAAGATAAATTTGGTAATATGAGAAGTCTCTATTTATTTGAATTCATGGATCAGAACTACAAGTAAGGGGATATATATTTTCCACTTATCTATGATGGTAATTCAGAATATTTAAGAAATTTTAAGAAACTGCATTAAATTTGCAGCCAGATCTAACTTAATCATAAGATGTCATATATGAGTCAGTGTTTTAACATGCATAAGTTTGATCACTTGGGCCTTGAATATAGGTCAAGGTAATTTGTTTGAAAAAAAATTTGGGCTTCATCCCAGGAACAGTAAAATCAAATATTTTGGATAACTTTCCTCTCTTTTTATTGAAAAGTGCACTAGCCTGGAATAGCTCACTTCAATATTTGGAGACTGTTATTGGGAAAAGTGAACAACAACGTTTGTTAAGTGTATAGGAGTTATTCCCCTTCGAGCCCAATAACACTGGTACTCTGCCTGTAAACTTTTGTTAAAGATGAAAGAGTTATCCCCCTTCGTAAACAAGGCCTACATATCCATTATGGAGGGTAAAATAATAATTCCAGAAATTTTGCGTATTGCGTTTTGCCACACCCTTTAAACTCTGTCAAACCGCCTCAAATATGATACCTTTAAAAATGCAACCTCAAAAGTGCTCGCTAACGAAACAGTACACCTGTGTGATCACCTGGATAATAACCACGACACTGGAGAGCCGAGTAAAGCACGTTTATAATAAACAATATATATGCAGTTGCTACACTAATTTTATATACACCTAACATACTATATACAAGGTGCACAATCCGAAGACCTACCTTGACACCATCGTCAGAAACAAAACAGCCGCCTTTATATTATACCTTCATAGGTAACGGAGATTTCTTAGAAGGGACATAACTCTTTATCAGATGTACTAGGTGTACTATGAAAAATAGTATAAAGTAAAAAAACAGCTATATAAATAGGGAATCTAACAATATTTCTATTTTCAATACGCTATTTTTTCCCCGCATGATTATATCTAACTTTTGCAATGCCACAAGAATTGATATTATTGTCAAAAAAACCCCTCTGAATATGTAACAATATAAAACACATTATTTAAAACATTGATAACGTCATTATGTTTATATATATAATATAGAAAATAATAAAACCACAAACAATTGGTACTTTTTATCTATATATGTACCAGACATTGCGAGTTATAGCACTCCGTGCACGAGGAGGGGAGAGCCTCCGTGTCCGTTTCCCAATGAAAGATGTACCAGGTTTCTCACTGTTGTAAAATATTTTACACATGCAACTAGTGTGACAAGATTTTTTGTTGTTGTGTTTTTTCTTTCTTCTTATCCTACTTCAATAGTGCAAAAGAAGTTACATTGATGAATTCCAACGGTGTCCTGAAAAGTTTTTTTTCTCTCAGTTGGTGGGTTATAAACGTGTTACTCTGGCCTAGTTTTTAACAATACATACAGACATAGCAGTTGTAAACATTTTCGGGTTGATAAGTAAAATATAGAAGTTCAAATATTACAACCAGTGAAATATGTGACCTTTCGATGTTTGACAGTGAAATATCACTGGCCTGTATATATACAGTGTACGAGATGGTAATATGATCCATTTTATTCTTCCCTGTAATTCTCCATTATCTATTAGTAAGAAACGATTCATTTGACAAATTAGCAATTAATTTATTTAGAACAACTTGCTTTTCAATTTTCGGGACAATTGTATTCGATTTGGTCGATGCATTATTATTGCTAATCACACAGCAATGCCGGGCTGTTTCTAGAAAGTGTGTTTGTTTATATACAAGTAAGAAACTTATACACGTGGAATACACTGTCAATGCTAAGCAGACTACTGTGACAGTAGTGAGAAAGTTTTAACTTATTTAACGTATAAATACACTAGGATGAAAAGCAGCATTACGAAATACGACAAGTCTGACCGAATTAGGTGGTAACAACTTGAACCATCCCCAAGAAAGCCAATTTGATTATACTTTGACCAATACCTCTCATTTTCCAATTGCACCACCCCTTACACCAGAAGATGGGCGGTTGTACGGAGAAACGGACAAGAGGTTCGGGGTTCGACTCCATGAACCTTCAGAAAGCTACGGAAACCAAAGAAGGCGGGACATTTATCGGATTTGAGCGTAAAAAATCCGGGAAATTAAAGAAACTCTAACAGATCATGCCACATAGAAAAATCATATCGGTGCATTGGACAATTCTAAAGTAGAGCACAGAGAAAACAATCTTTTCAAGTGGCAGATCAAGGAAGTCATCTGGATACAGAGGGTCAGCACTGAACAGCGAATCTTGTTGTCACTAAGGTCGAATATTGGTTAAACAAAGCGGGCCGAATTGACTAAAGTACATTGTACCATCCTGTGTATATGTTTTTTTCTCTTTAATCTGTTTACCATGTCTTAACACTATTTTCGACCTTAAAGTATATAGGATTATAGTACAGGCGAAAAAGTTGGTCGACATGTTACACTCTAATCTTCAAATGGTTGTGTCGTAAAACAATTTTATAGATAACTTCACTTATAATTACATGGTTTATTTAAGTGACGATGAACGAATTAGTCCTATGTAGAGAGCTTTTTCGGCCCCTGTTTTGGAAAATTATCTTTTAATTTTAATATGAACTGGTAACATGGTAAGAATAATCTTGGTGTTTTCAGAAGGGGAAAAGAGACAAAGTATCATTTAAAGAGGTATGGTGTTTAACGATGCCGGAGTCCTTGTTTCCCA